ATCAATAATTTTCTTAACAAAATATAAAAATAGGCCAATGATACTCTACTAAAAAAAATGAAGCTAAAGAACGAAAAATATTATTGTTTATTAATGATTTTTTATTCTGAATAAAAAATAAAATCCAACTAACCGATTATGTCTGAGATGACTTTTGACTAGATGACCCTCGGTGAGTGCAGCCATGAGGGACAATTCCCCGGCAAGAACAGTGGCACAAACAATTCTCGCAAGTTTGCTAGAATTTTCTCCTGGATCGCTGTCATGAGCCCCCTGTACCCCCAGCATCGACAAACAAGCACTCTGTGCAGGTAAACCAGTACCACCCCCAATGGTGCCAATCTCAATACTAGGCATGGTACAGGAAATATAAAGATCCTTTCCATCAACACCCCAGGGTTCCATCAACGTCATACAATTGCTGCTGCCAACATTCTGAGCTGGATCCTGGCCTGTTGCAATATAAATGGCAGTCACAACATTAGCAGCATGAGCATTGAAGCCCCCAACACTTCCAGCAACAGCTGATCCAACAAGATTCTTATTAATATTAACATCGACAATAGCATGTACAGAAGTTTTCAATACAGCCTCAACGACATCAGCTGGAACAATAGCCTCGCAGACAACACTCTTGCCCCTTCCCTCGATCCAATTGACAGCAGCTGGTTTTTTATCAGTGCAAAAATTACCACTCAGCGATAATATCTCCATATCAGTGAACGATCCTTGAACACACTGCAGTGATTTCTCTGTACCTTTCGACAGCATATTCATACCCATGGCATCACCTGTTTTAGCCACAAATCTTATGAACAAATGTCTGCCAGCTATTCTCACGTGTATCCTCGTTAACCTGGCGAATCTACTAGTCTCATCGAAACACCTCTTCATTTCATTGAAATTCGTTGTCTCCTGCATCCAAGCCATTGCCTCACTAGCACGTACGATATTTGGAAATCTAACGACTGGACCCCTTGTCATCCCATCAGCAACAACTCGACTTGTAACTCCACACTTCATGAGTGCTCTGCTTCCTCGATTTGTCGATGCCACGAGACAACCCTCTGTCGTTGCCATTGGTATTCTAATTAATTCACCATCCACCAACAGTGGACCAGCAATTCCCACTGGAACTGGAACATAACCGATTACATTCTCACAACACGAGCCCAACACTTTTGTGTAGTCGTAATTCTTGTAAGGAAGATCGGCTAATTCATCCGTAAATTTTGCCGATTCTGTTATCAGTAGACGGCGAATTCCAACACCACGCTCCATGTCACCTACTGCTTTCTCAAGCTGATAGGCTGGGATGTGACGATTTTTAACGAGTTGAATGACTTCTTTATCGGTTAAAGCGTTAGCACCCAATTCAGACTTATAAATCTCCAGACATTCCTCAACGCTTCTGGGTTCTTTCTCATCCTTAGTTATTTCCTCCGGCGTACCATCAGTAATTAATACTCTACCGTCAGTCTGCACTTCTTTATCCTCGACTTCCACCTGGGTGTCACCTCCAACGACCATCCAATTGTCTCCCATCCCTGATAATGGAAATACTGATGTGCGGACGGTGGGCAGATCAGGAGCAAATCTTTGCCTGATGGACATATCGAGAGAGGATGCATGCATCGTCTCCATGGACGTTTCTTCATGCGAGGCTATTTCCTCGTCCTCTTCCTTCTCCTTGAACCTCAGTTGCTTCGCAATATCCCCCTTGTCCTCAATGAAAATAAACTTCAATGCAAGAGCAAGAAGGAGAATGAGAATTACTATGTTATCAGCACTCACTGATAACCAATTCATCAAATGCTCTTTAAAGTCCTCCGGGGTTTTTGATTTATTGTGATTATTAATTATTATGTGAGAATTTATAGGTGATGTTGTCCCCTCTACTGTGTCGTCCCCGTCTCCGTGTTTAAATGGCCAACGACTGTGAAAAAAAAATATTCAGATTGTTTAAGATTGATTAATGAGCTCTCGGTGTGTTCTTCGGAAATATCTACACAATTTAAATTAAAAAAATTCGAATCGATGGGCAATCAAATATGAAATTCTCAAAAACGATATAAATTCGTCCAAAGACGATCAGATAACATTTTCCGAACAGTTTCATTGTAAAAATATTTAATTTCCACAGGGAATTATTCCCTCACGTAATTTCTAATGATCACTTCACGCCTGAACTTCCATAAAAAATTGGAGAATTCCAATGTTATAGTGAAAATAATATTTGAGGGAAGAACTCAATCAAGGGCCTAACAATTTTCAATCAATCTTCTTGCAACTGTTCTTACAATAGAGGCACCATCTGAATGTTCGTATGTCCTCTTGAATACTGAATCCCTTGTTCATCTCAAACATCTGAAATGACATCTCAATGGCTCGAAAAAAAAAAAAAACTACCCACTCCACCTCGAAATTTATTTCTGGTCACCCCCTCAACTCAATACGGCTATCTCACCTCTGCTCAATGGTATATTATTATCATTCTCATGTAATATTGAACTTCCAAAAAAACCCAAGTGCT